AATGATGACATTAAACTTCTTCTGCTCTCTTTCTCTCTCTCTCTCTCTTGTTGCTCTCTATCTCCAAAGTCCTGATTTTTTTTACCAACTCCTCTTTCTCTGCCCTCCGCTCTTCTTTCTCTTTCTCCCATGCTCCTTCCTTCTCCCTCCATTCTGCTCTGATCCCTTCTAGTGTGTCATCTAATTTCTGCGTCGTCGTCCTTTCTAACTTTTCCANGGACTTGTGACGTTTTTCCAAGACATATCACACAATGTACCAATAAGCTTAATTATGTTACCTTTTTTAGTTTCCTATCGAATATGAAACATAAATTAGCTATTTCTAAATTACATAAATTAATTTTAAATAATGAAATTTCGGACTCGTACACAAAAACTAATTTTAAAAAAAATAAAATTGAATTAATTAAGAAAAAAATATTAAGTAATGGCTGTGAATCTTTATGATAAGTTTATTTATTGATTATTACGAATTAAAATTGAAAAGCATTTTTCGCAAATATCGTTATAAGTAAGATAAAAAGTTCGATGCCCTTTTCTCACATGAAGAATCCGATCGTGAAGGTGTATACGATACACTTGCAGCTACAAGTGTCAGTGATCCTGGACCGGTTTGGTTCCCTGCATTTGTCAACAATAAAGGCATAAGTAAAGTAAAAAAAAACTGGCTATGTAACCTTTCTAAGACACCGCTACCGGATTGCGTCTCAAGCATATTAGAGTTGGGCGATGAATTTAATTTTGTTCCTAATGTTAATAAATGTGATTATTTTGAACTTTATAAAAATGTTTAACGTTCATTAAAATGTTCTGGAGAATTTGAGACTGTGAGAAAAGAACTACTCAACATTATCGGTAGCAATAAACATAATGTATCTACTCGTCTTTCTTTAAATGATAGAATTCTCCAAGACAGTTTAAAGCGAACACAAGTCTCCCTTAAAAAAATAAACACATTTTAATTACTAAAGCAGGCAATGGTAATATTACTGTTGTCATTGACAAAGAAACTTACATTTATAAAGTAGAAGAATTATTAAGTGATGATAAACATTATTAACAGCTGGAAAATAATCCTTTAAAGCAATTATTAAAGATACAAAAAATTTTGCAAGCAAGTGGGATCAATACGGTATTTTTGATGAATTAAATAAGTTTGATAAGGATATTCATGAAAAAAACTTATCTAAATGCTACGGACTAATAAAAATACACAAAAAAGACTTTCCTATCCGTATCATTGTCTCTACACTGAATTCACCTACTTATAGTTTTTCAAAATTTCTTTCTAATTTTTTGATTAAGAATATTCCGCTGGCGAAATTACACGTAAAAAATAGTGATAAGTTGATAAATTAATTTAAAGATATTACCATTTCACCTGGTTACACTCTTTTTAGTCTAGATGTTGTTAGTTAATTTACTAATACTAGTAAAGCCTCAATCATAAATGCAATAAAACATTTTTGAAAATTCTTAAATGGTAAAATCAATGTTTCTTTCAATGAATTTTGCACGCAGGTGTATCTTTAATTTTGAATTTGACTTTTTTCCATTTCAACAACAAATTTTATAAACAAGTTTTTGGCTCTCTCCAATGGAAAGTCCCTGCAGTTCAGTGCTGTGTGATCTTGTAATGCGTTTGCTTGAAATTTCATGCATAGAGAAATTATGTTTTGATGTTCCACTGTATGTGTGGTATGTGGATAATATTCTCATATGTGTGCCCACTAAATATATATCAACTATACTAAAAACATTTTTAATAGCTATTGTATGGAATTACAATTTACTGTTAAGACATGCAACAACAAACGTACTAGTTTCTTGGATTTAAAAGTTATCATTCAAAAAAATAACACAGTACTAACTAATTGGTACCAAAAAGCCACACATTCAGGCCGATACTTGAATTTTCTCTCCCACTATCCAATGCAACATAAAATAGGTATCATTTACACATTAATTAACTTTTATAAATCGCACAGCGCAATAATTTGGAGAAGTTAAAGTTCAACACTAGTATTTTTATTAAAAAAATATACCGTGTTGATATTGCATAAAATAGTATTGAATAACAGTTATCAAAATTAATCATGCGACAGCTCAACGCGCCAGATCGTCTGTGATGGTGGAGTGGAGGGAGAGACTAGCTGCCACTGCGTCATTAATTTTTTTGCTTGGTCTGACCAGTAAGGCCTGTTTGTGAAAAAAATGGCGCAATTTGCAATTGAAAAAAAAATGTTATCGTTAATAACTGAACAAGTAATTGATCAATGATGCTACAATTGTGGTTAGCAATTTTTTTTAATTGCTACGTATGACAATGTTTCTATAAACTGTAGTTTTAACTGAAAAATTCAAGTCTTAGCAATCGTGTGTTGGATGGGAAATGTCGATAAATTCAATTACTCGCATTTAATACATCTTACATTATTTCAATAATAATATTAATATACAACAAGATACAGAAAAATTAAAAAATTGTTACGAGTCTCTCGTTATGTCAATTAAGAATGAAAGCAACTCTGTTCCGGCGCAAGCCAAGATTCGAGCTTCGCCCAGATGCGTAAGTGCCCCCTCCTCTCATCTCTTCGAGAGCGAATCGGCCTCCGAAATTCTCTGTTATTTTCCTTCTTCTCTCTCCTCTTATGCCTTTTTGTCTTCTAGAGGAGTGGTCCTCACGGACCTGTCCCATGCGGGAAGGTTAGTTTTTAGTCAGTAGGCACACTGGGTGAATCCGACATTACCACCAGATTAGCTGGGGTGTCTATGAAGATTTTTCCCTCCCCACTCCATCAAACAAAAAAAAAAATATAAAAAGAAAGGAGGTTAACTTGATGTACATGCTTTGAGGGCCCTTTTCATTTATGGTATTAGGAAAACATGATCTGTTTACGTATGTCTCACAAGGAACTGCTTGCGATTCTCATTTGATTGTATTATGTGCGTATACTATGTCATTTGTGTATGTGCAGGGTATTAAAGCAACGAAACTTGAAACTCTGACTACATTACGATTTTACATCCCCTTCGTAAGAGTCAGAGGTATATTATACTCTTTAATTAATTTACGTTTATTGTATTTATCAAAATTTGCATTGTAAAGAATTTTTTATTACTCATAGATTTTTGTACCTGATGAGGGCCGGGACATTGTCCAAACGGCTGAAATGTCGTTTTGTTTTTTAATAAGTACAAAATTTTACAGTACCACCATTGAACGTTATTTAAAAAATGAGAGTAAATTCTAATATTCTTACATACCATATGAGCAAGTCATCGGACTGAAAAAACCGCTGAAAAAGTATATTTTGTGGCAATTGAGAAGAGGAGTCATCGAGACCCCGATTGCGAAGTTGGTAACGCACTTTCCGGGCAAGAAAAGAGTTTCAGGTCCATGTCCTTGTCGAGGTGGCACTTTTTTTTTTCAATTTCTACGTATGACAATGTTTCGACAAACTGTTGTTTCAACTGAATAGTTCGAGTTGCCTTGGCAATTGTGTGTTGGGTGGGAAATGTCGAAAAATTCAATTACTCGCATTTATAACTGTGTGAGTAAGTTCTACTTTTCTTACATATCATAAAAACACTTTTTTTGTCACTAATTGTTAATTATGAGATAAAGCACACCGAAATTTCGGCGCAAACTTATGGTGTTCAACTACACCCCATACCGAAGTGATCCCAACAACAAAAGCGCCTTTGTCCGATAAATAAACTCATAACTTTTAACTGTCTTCTCTAGAAGAAGAAGGATTACGATCTTGGATTGTCTTTTATTTAAATGATAAGTCCGTTAACATCAGTGCATTACACCAGACCAATATCATTAGAAAACTATCTGTAAGCCTTTTTCTAAATTTGATACGTGAAAACCCTTGAACAATGTTGTAGGAAATGTACTTAAAAAAACTAAGTACATAACTCCGCCATTTTCTTTGGCAAGCCTACATCCTCTGTAAGGTTGATTAATATAGACTGTAAGGCCAGTATAGGGTTGTTGTGTTAGCATCTACAGAAAAATCTTTTAAAAAAAACAAAAAATGTAGTGTTATTACAATTGTAAAACATACTTTTTTTTTTAAATCTTTTTTTACAGTTTTTTGATATCAATTTAACGAGCAAGATAATCAAGAAATTTTAACATTTTATCTCTACTGCCTGGTACGATAAAATTACTTCCGTGATTGATAGATTTTATAATCGTGCGTAACTGATCCATACCAGTTACTTAACCATATAGAGCTGCACTTTTATGATGATGCCTACGTGCGCTTGGCTGACACTAGGGTTTGGAGTCTCTGCATCGTTACACGTCTTTTATATGTTATGTTTAATCGTATTTTATTATAATTCTTATACATTTTTGAAGTTAAGGAAACCATGGCGGTTTATCAAACAGACTTTAGTATTGCAATTCGTTAGAAGTTAAGTAAGTAATAAAGTAATTCGTTATATTTTATATACAAACTTATTTTCTTATTTCTGGGTTTTGAGGTTATAGTAGAATCTTAGAGTAATTGAGTTAAATGCTTTAGATTTGGTTTCAGCGATTTTAACTAATATAGCAATCATGGTTAAACTTCCCGATCGAATAAAAACTATTTTTGTATATCATTGGTGTTTTTATGAGTTAACGCTCAATTCTAACGCAATACAATTAGAGTCCTTTGAGTCGAATTCAACAATCCCAAAATTATATCGTAAACACGGTCAAACTAAAACAATTTCTGTGGCTGTTTAATAAAACAACGTTTCCAAATGTAATTCCATCAACCCTTAAGAATTTTTCACATTTTGAATAGTTAGTTTTGTTCGGTTTTTTTTTTCTGGAAACAATTACTCTTTGAAAAAAAGTTGCATATAGAAAAACTGATTTTGGGAAACACTGTCCATTGAGAAAAATGTCCTTTAGGAAACATAGATTTCAGAAACTGTTATATAATCATATTGAAACTTAATAATTTCTTGTTATACAATTAAACATATTCTTTCAGATAAGACTTTTGAAGGCTGAAGCTAAAAAATTTTATAATAAACTCATCATTCATGGCGAACAGTGCACTGATCACACAGTCTATAAAATTGGAAGTCTATTCTTGGATTTGCAAGATCTGTCAATATATGTAAATAGAATTTCCACAGTTATCTATCTAATTATTCAACAGTTATCGTATTTGGCTCACAGTACTCATAGAGAGATATATTTACCACTCCTTATTGAACACTTAATCGATTTATTTGTTATACTTGTTACTTTCGATGAAGTAATTAGTGGACAGCCTGCTATAATCGAGCAATGGAAAATTTACCAAATTAAGGTGAGGTCAGTTATTCATAACTCGTTGTACTCAAATACACCCCACAAGGAAATACTATCTTATGAAAAATTGCTGAAAAACCTTCACAGTCAACTTCTCTCCAAGACTCTATTTTTAAAATCCATTGAGCACGTTATGGATATAAACAAATCAGCAGTAATGGGTAATCATATAATTTGCTTCTTAAAAAACATTATGCTGCATATAGAGGATAAAGTTAGTAATAACGTAGTGGTTCATAGAAATTGGATCCGAGCTAACGTAGGGGTGGTTGTTCTTTTTAAGCTGTTCGGAGTTTGTGACAAAAAGTTATTAAAGAGAGTCGTTGACGTGAATAAGAAGCTGTACGTGGTTAGTCTTTTTGGTAACGTAGTTTGGCTACCTCAAGATTTTCTGGTCAATCGCCTACCAAGAGAGGGTTTATCTTCCATATCAACACAGGCTGGTGAAAAGTTTCTCGCTGCGCGGATGCAGAAGTTTCCCGTCATTGTCAATAACCTGGTGCAAAGAGCAATGCTGTGGTGCATTGAAATGAAGGTCCTGATAATCAAAACAGGTTTTCAGATATTCTCAGAGATTGAGCGCAAAAGAAACCTTTTGCTCGATATTTTAGCATTAGTGTGCCAAATGCGAGAAGATGTCTTGGTAGTGACAAATTTGCATGGATTTCTGATGAAGCCAATGAGCCGGTCTACAGTTCAATTAGTTTGTCGACTTGTTGAGGCTCAAAAAGCCTTAGAGATAAGTTTTTACACATTCGCACCGAGAATAGTGTTAGCCCAGAGCCAAGTGCTACAGCAGCTAACCTACCAAATTTTGGCGATCCTCGAGTTGGTGCGCAAGGCTCTTGGACAGACAGGTACTGGTAGCGGAGGTGTGAGTGCCAATAGCGCTAGTATCAGTAGTAGCAGTAATAGTAGTAGCCACCGCAGTAAGGCTGTTAGTTACAGTAGCGAGCGTTTGGATGCGCTTTCACTGATCTGTTTAAGCGCTCGATTGCTTAACGGCCCTGCCAGCCCAGAGCGCCGTCTTGTGCTACGCTGTGCCTTAGTATGTGCGAGTCAACTCACTGAAAATTTTCGCGAAGATGAAGTCATTCGGTTGCGCTTTTTTCTCGACACCTACGATGCAATTATTGATCTCTTTGAGCAGTTGGCCTTCAACTGTGACTATTTAGTGCTACTGCAACAGCAAGCAATGCTTCCGGCATATCTAACACTTGCAGCTGAGACTGGGGTTGGACCGCTTGGACATCTCAGTCGTATGTTGCAAGCCTTTAACAGTGCTGTACTACAGCAAAAGTCAGCCGTTATGCCCATATTTCGGCTGGCAGAGAAGCGTAGCACACTCAGTTGTTGTCTTCTAGAGCCAACCTGTCGTGATATGGAAACGGAACTGCGGTTACACGTGTATTCTCATCTGAGGACTAGTATGGACAGTGTGAGTGATTCATCTTCGTGGATGACGGTAACAACAACATCGTCATTGTTATCACCGCTGCCGTTAGAATCAGTGTCTGCAGCTGTGGTAACTACAGCTTCTACCATAGATACAATCACCAGATTACGTGATGGCACCCGCCTCGTACGGGCTGAGCCGTTGATCCTTATCGGTGGCTTGCTGTTATCCGGTCGGCGCTACGTTGAGCACTATCTTGACGTAACATTTTACAATTTGACAAGTGTCGCACTCCATGACTGGCGTGCTTATGACAGCATGCATGCTCTAGCTAAGCATAAATTTCGTATTGAGAACGTATCTGAGCAGCTTCCTACTCAGACGCTTGAGCAAGGCCTTGATGCGCTTGAGATTATGCGTAACATTCACGTTTTTGTTTCATGCTATTTTTATAACTTACATATGCAAACGTTTATCGAGCAGATGAGTACAGGCCGGCATCTCAACACTATCGGTATTCGTCACGTAGCCAACTCCATTCGCACTCATGGCATTGGTATCATAAGTACCAGTGTTAACTTTGTTTACCAGTTCCTGTGCGTCAAGCTGCACACTCTGTCTCAATTCCTCTTCGATGAACACATCAAGTCTCGCTTAAGTCGTGATATTCATTATGTGCGATTACAGAAAGAACGTGTTGCTCTGGCCTACGGCTACGAGCGTGCTGAAAAGTTTCAAAGGGCTATTCGGAAGCTTGGAATGACTTCCGAGGGTCTTAGCTATCTTGACCAGTTTCGCCAGCTAATAACCCAAATTGGCAATGCTTTGGGGTACGTGCGTCTCATCCGCTCAGCGGGTCTACATGCATCAGCCAAAACAGTCGCATTTCTACCACCAAAAGTCTGTCATGTTAGCCCTAGTGCTGAAAACTACGGTGACAGCAATAATGATAATAACAGTAACAACAAAGACAAAAACGACGAAGATACCATCACAGCCAGAAAAGTTAGCATGAGGTTTAGTTTAAAATCGGTGCAAGCAGCGGCCAATCGATTAGACGCTGATCTTGCTAATCTTGGGCGGAATTTCACTGAAGGGACTCACTACTTTCAACTGCTCGTAGATGTGTTTGCGGTAGCCTTCCGAGATCCTGGCAAATATAAGCATCTACAGCAGTTCTATGCCATCATACCGCCACTTACACTGAGTTTTATTGACTGTACACTTGACAGCAAGGAAAAGCTTTTCAAAAAAAAAAACTCTGGCGCAGCCTTCACTGACGACGGGTTTGCCATCGGATTGGCCTACATCAACGCCCTACTTGGACAAAGTAGCGTGTTCGATAGTCTGCAGTGGTTTAAGACCGTGCAAAAGCACCTTATTATTCAGAAAGACGCTGTTAAAAGTCAAGCTGAGCACGAGGATGAAAAGCTGCGTCAGACTAGGGCATTAACTCTTAAACGACTTGAAGAGAGAAGTGCTGAGTTTCAGCTGCTTTACTACACTCTATCAGGAGCACGAGTTCTTTTTAAATAATTTAATATAATGATGCATGAACTTTCCCTTTTTTTATGTGAATAGGATTTTCAGAAATTTTTATTTTTAGTTTACACAAAAAAAAAAAAAAAAAATGTATACGTATTACGGTGATCAAAAGGAATTGTCTGACCGCCCATTGGCAATTTTACTGTCATCAAATAAACTTTTCTATTTGGTTTTTTCTACCCTCCTTTATTATGCATGAATTTTTTACTGTTTACTGCTTGTCATAGAGGTTCTAATTTTTATATTTTAGAGCTATGCTCGAGAATAAAATTGTTGTGTCCCTCATAAATGCTTCTCAACAGTCATTACAAAAGCAAATTTAGTACCGTCCTATCTTTGAATCTTATATGTCTTTTTAGGTAGGCTTTAGTAATAAGTTTTGATCAGTTTTTCTAAAAACATTGAAAATGAAAATCTTGCGTACAATTACAAGCAATGGTGACGTTAAATTTAATATGATGTATCTTTTAATACAGTTTATATATTGTATTTTTAAACGTTAGTTTTTTCCGTTTCTATCCTCAAGGATACTCCTTCAAAACTTCTTTTGACAACAGTTTTTTAAGGCAGCTCATCAGGGAACTTAATTATTTTGGACTATGAATAAAATATGGAGAAATTGTAACTAACGGTTGAACTAATCTAATACTGGAGTTCAAAAATCCTGTTGCTAAGTGAAATTTAGCAAACGGTTGGCTTAAAAATTTATTTTTAACATTTTTGTAAGAGGCTGTTAAACTTTAGTCAGAAAAAATGTACCTCTCCAAATCTACTTAAGTTATGGTCAACGTAAACTCAGTGTGGACTTTTATGATGGTAGCTGTGATGTGGACACGAGTGCAACGAGAGGCAAGAGTAAGTAAGGAACCGATACGTAGAAGTTAAAGTGGGTAATAAAACGAAAATATAAATACAAAACCAAGAAGGTATATTACAGAATAGTTACTAAAGTTTTTTAAAAGAGAGTCACCAGACGTTAAAAAAGGTAAAAGTTAAAGTGAGATTAAAAAGCTGAACTACTAGAAAAAAAAAGATACTAAGTACATTAAGTCTAATGACCACTGTGAACACCACGTTAGAATAATGCAATTTATAAAGTAAGAAGGATGTTAAAAAAGTCATCAAAGAACATACAATAAAAATTTAAGAGAAAATTGTGAAAGGCCTGCTGTTAGAATGGGCGACTTTGAACATCGAGGAGAAGTTGGAGGTGGCGTGAAGAAACCGTGTTGGAGGCTTTATGAGTGTGGTGAGACAGTTCCTCTTGTAGTAATCAAAGCTGCCGCTGGAAGTGATGGGTTCCTGGGCAATGATACACAGCGAGTGACATGAGCTGGCTGCCAGTGGGATTATCGTTAGATTCCCTCAGTCGCTGAACGATAGAGCCTAAGGATGTAAAGAATAGTGGTTAAGAGCTAGTACGAGAAAGACATCACAGGAAGATTGTAGTACTAATGAACAGTAATATTTATTACATATGCATTGCTCCAGCCACTGATGTTGCGTTGGTTTCGTCACATGAGCGAAACTCTAACGATCGCTATGAATCGGGTGGTCCGGATTTATGATTTCGAGTTCGTCGCACAGTGCTACGTATACATGAGAAGCTGCTTTAATACTTGCGGTGTTCTTTAGAAACTAGTTGTTATGTCACTGAGAAATTATTGGGGCCCAAGCATGTGCATACAACGCACAAAATGCCCTTACAGCTTTTACTTGTGGAGTAGCTGCACAAGTGAAGGAGGACTTACGCTCCAGAGTTGGGTGGCAGCGACCTATAGTATTACCGCATAACTGACACTCTGGTCACTAATATGGCTGAAGCTCTGTTTTGATGTGCGCAATCATAACTCATAACACCAGCGCAAGTATACATTTATGCATCAGGTGTAGTGCGTGCATGCAGTATATCCATCAAGATTGTATGAGTTATAAAGAACATTGATATTAACAATTATCAATATACATGTCATTGTATGTATAAAAACTCAAGAGGAGTGAAGGATTTCCACAATAAATATAACTTGCCCCAAGCATTGCTGCATCGTTTGAATGGTAAGTTATATTTTTTAAATTACATATCCTGCAAACTAACAAATTATATTTTGTTGATGGTTTTTTACAGTAAAGAGGTCGCCACAGCTACAAGGATAGCTCTCATAGGTAAAATTCAAAGCCTAATAATGCAGTGCATCTTTTTTAGCACTTACTAGTTTTAAGACTAGTTAAGAAATTAGTTTTGAGACCAGTTTTGGAGTCTATTTTATGACCAGCTTTGTAGTATTGAAACTGATCTTAGATTTTAGTGTTTTTTATATCCCTGCCCTAATAGCCCTGTGAGCTGTCACAGTGGCCAAATTCAGGTCTTCGCTGGGAGTGAAAACAGCAGCTATAGTCAGTATTACTGTAATATTTTACAGACAAGTTGATCAACAGTTTCAAAAGTGCTCAATCCATTTGACGTATCCAGACAAGAATACGTAGTAGGTTTTGTAAGCTGCGAACATATCTGAAAACCATCGACAACTTACAAATCACCGCATAAGACAGTGATGGAGATTTGCGTATACATTCTCATTTGGACTCTTGTATAGCACAAGACTGGATGTAGTAATTTTCTTGTTCTAGCGTTCTCTTTTAAAAAAATGTATATATACCTATTTGAAGGATGCCAATATTACTTGTAATAATTTAATCACTCTCATAATAGATTAATAGAATGTTTTTCGAGTTATAACATAATGTTCATGAAAAATAAAATTACTCACGAAGAATTGTTTTTTTTTTTTATTTAATAAGGATTATATAAGGTGAGTAGATGTTTATTCTCGATTTTTTAAACATTTGCTGAATGTATATACCAGGTCTTTTATGATAGGCAGAGAACAGCAAATACCTAGGAAACTGTGATATTAGTTTTATACTAGTAATGAATACCATACTCAGATAATATTTACATTACCGTATCAAATTTTTACTAATTTTTGTACATAAATTATGCAATATTAACTATTTAATGCACTGATTGCAATAGAAATACTCAAGTTTGTTCAAAATAAGAATATCTCATGATCTGATTATAAGTGTTGCTGTTCCACCATACGTGTGGCTTAACCTGCGCACCACGAGACTTGTGCAGTTACTGCCCAAGTCCAGTACAGCTACCGCACTATTCGTATGCGTCTTCTGCTTTAGTATGTGTGAAACAATGGTATCCCTACCATTTGTGCTAAGCACGCCCCAATATTTTCTCGGTGCACCCAGCAAGCAGTAGGTGGTACCATCAGGTACAAAATTGAAAATTTGAACTGGGCGCGATGCTTGAAAATAAAATTTATGTAAAGCAATTGAAATTAGTAATTGATAATTATTTTAATCATTAATAATTCATAAAATTATACTCTGGATGGTAATAAGATGAACAAGACGATACAAGAGGCATCAGAACAAACCATTAAATATATAAACAAGCTAGAGGATGACCTGATTGAATTGTTGTTTGAAAAACAAGAAAATTACAAGAATAAATTCACACAAGTGAAGACAGCAATTCAAAGTAAAATACAAATAACAAAATAATGAATAGAACATTTTACCAACCACTAAGTGTCCTGAAGAAAAAAGAGAGAGAGAGAGAAAAGAGAAAAAAGTGGCGAGCAGTTTAGGAAAAGAAATGTGAAAGAGATAGTAGAAGGATGTCTCAAAGAATATAATAAGTAAACGTAGTAGGTGTAAGCAAAAATAGAAGTGATAAGGTAATAGTTGTTTAACTACTCAAAGAAGCAAAAAAAAAATGATGAAAAAAAGTCTCTTGAAAATGGATAGTAAAGAACACGTCACTGTCACTGTTATGGTTGGATCCATCGCGGTGATATAGGCACGAGAAATCGTGGCGTTTAGGCCAAAAATTGTCATAATGGACCTCGAAGGGCGCAATGTCCCGTTGTTATGAAGGTCACACAGCGTGCACAGGTAAAATTACCTGGGGCCGTTCAGGCGACAATCATCTCGACAGTGTGGGTTTTTTGCTTTTGAATTTTCCCAGTTTGCGAGGTAACTAACTTGCTTGGCAAACCGACGCTCCACTCGTCTTTCCGACTATCGAAAGTGGCCAGGTCACGAGGCTGCTCGAAGTGCGTTGTGCTTGTGCGCATGTGTGTGATGTTGATTGAAGTTGATTCGATCGATTTTGTACACCTTACGGACTAAAAAGACGAATCAACTTGTGTATAGCACGTATCATTTCACGCCCGCTTTTCCATACGTTCGGAGGGGATTGTAGGTCAACTACGATATCGTTAGGCTTAAGCGGCTCGCTTTGCTCGAACAAATTTTAGCCGATCCCTCGAGCAGTTCGAGGCACGCCCTTTGGAAATTTGTACCATTGTCGCTGTACATGACCGTTGGCGTTCCTTGACGTGCTGACGATCTCTGAACAGCCATAATTGCTGCACTCGCAGTTAGACTATGCACTACTTCTAGCCGTATGGCTCGAGTCGATAAGCACGTGAAGAGCACCCCTTAGCGTTTTTCCCTTCTGCGTTTTACCTTCACGTACAGCGGGCTGAAGTAGTCCACCCTGCAATAGCTGAATGGTCTGTGTTTATACGCGAGTCTTCCTTTGGGTAACAGTGCCATTATTGGGTTTTTTGGCTGCGCGCGCCTCAGTTTACAAATTAAACAATCGTTTCTGATACTTTTTAGTGCGGTGCGCAAACCGAGTATATAATAATTTTGCCGAAGTTCGTTTATTACGGTCTCTGAATTCCCATGGTGGAAACGTCGATGACATTTCGCGATCAGTAGTTGAACAGCAAGGTTTTTTCCGTCAAGCACTATGGGAGAACAGTTAAATTGAGCATTCGGTATATTCGTGACTCGTCCCTCTATTCGCATTATTTGATCCCTCTCTAGTACCGGCGTGACTTGAGCCAGACGGCTGGCCCTCTTTATTTGTTTCAGAGTGCTCAACGCTCGCATCTCCTCCAGAAAACTTTCCCGCTGGGACACTCTATAAACATACTTTTCCGCCTGACCCTGGTGTTCAATGCCGTTCTCCACCCCAACACTCAGGAATTTCTGCAAGGCCTCCTCCTGAGATCGTATTACGCGCGTCGCCCAGCGCAGAAAATATTTACGGACTCGACGAGCGGCAATCAGTAAACCGTCCCATCCTAGTAACTTCGCAACTGTCGGTAATTCCCTGGGC